GACACTCAAGTTCTGTCACGAGATTTGACGACTAGCCTTTGACAGTGCCTGGAGAGGGTCCGAGAAGGATCTTCAATACATTTCACCCAATCCCCTGTACATGGAACAGGATAGCACTGAGATACGAGCCCAAGATTAGGCTCAGGACTTGATCCATGGACCTTCTTGACCCAGAACAAGACAGCACGAGGGAGTTTTCCTTCATACAGTTCAGTCAGCTCATTTCTGCCTTCGTGGGCACATTCTGAGCTCTCATCATGTTAACTGGGAGCCTACCACAACCATCACAACTCCCCCCCCCATTTGGTTTTATTTCTGGGAAGCAAAACAACTACACTTGGAGCTAGAGGTGGCATTAACAGAGATGAAAGGCTCCAAGAAATGTGGTGGGGCAAAGTAAGAAAGGCATCTTGTGTAACAAGTCAATATAATGTAGGGTTTAGCCGCTGGAAGCATGTGGAGGCATTAAGTTCTCTGCTAAAGAGCTGAGAAATACATCTCCTTCCCAAGAAAGATGGATTATACATTCAGGGCACCTGCTAGGAAGTCACCAGAATGCATGGTTTGAAATGATGGCATCCTAGAAAGTGCTCTTTCTGCTGTAACTACATCTCTAATCAGAAGGTCTGTTTGGCAAAAATCAAGACCTTGAAAGGAAAGGAAAAGCAAAGCTGCTGTTGGGTGAACTGCTGCAGTGTTTCACAGGCAGCCCTCCCCCCCGCTCCTAAAAGTAGCCTGTTCTGCCCATGTTGAGCAGCCAACTGTGCCTCAAGTCACTCCAGGGATTCAGATGTTAAGATGACCTAATTCAGCATAGAGCATAGATGGCTTGGAGCTGGTCACTGTGTCGAGGCAGCGAAGCAGCTCTAGACAGAGGAGGATGTATGCACAAGTCAATGCCGTTGGACAGCTCAGGTTTTGCTGCTTTTTTGAACTGATGCGTTTTGATTCTGGCCTTTGAAGCAGTCTTGGTTACCTGAGGCCAAGAGAGCGCTGGTCAGAAAATGTTAAAAAATTGATGAGGAAAAGGAACATTTCTGCTGGTTCCTACTGACCAGCTGCAGAGGACTGGTCAGACTCTTGCAAACTCAGATTCGTAGATCCAGGGCTATCATTTGGGCACTGCTAACAAACACCAGTTTCACTTATTCTTTTCCTGCCCAGCCCTGCATGTTGTTAAAGTGCCTTCTAGACAACCATGTACAGTTTTGCAGGTGCCCACCCTGCAGTTCATCTGCAGGGAAGGGATTGAGGTGATCGTAAAAAGGAGAGAGAGGACTCTCCCCCTGCTTTGTGTCTAGAGTGAGGAAACAACTTGCAGCTTACATAGCTCTCTTCCAGATGGTATCCGAGCCAACTGAGTATTCAGAAAAGAATGCACAACTCACGTTGATTAGCCTGTGTAAGATGAGCATGAACGCAGAAGGCCCAGCATGTTGTAGGAAAAAAAAAAAAATCTGTTGACTTGTAATGCAAAACATGAAAGTGATGTATTTTAAAAAAGGGAGAAAGGAAATAGTAAGGTAAGATGGATACTCTGTGAAGACTTCTGTTCACTAGGCAGTAAAATAATTTGATAAAAAAATTACAGTATCAAGTTAAACTTAATTCTCTGTACAGGATACCTAATATATAGCCAGCCCCAGACAAAGTGGTGCCTTGCTGGTTCTATTCGCATTCTGATTAAGTGACTGGCCTTGCCTTCAGGCCTTGATGCTGTGGTGCTTAAGCAAGTGTGTCACTTGAGGTATGTTGGTATTCCCATTGTGCCGCATGGGTGCCGTCAAATCCACAGCATCTCTCAAGGTGCTGATGCAATTCTAGGTGAAGATTTCATGCAAGTTCCGATTCAGGACTGCTGTGCAAATACTTCTTGCATAAAATTAGTTAATAATTTATCAATAATAATGCAGACATGCGTATGCCAGTAAACCAGGCATAGACTTACCAGGTCCAACTCTACAGGCTTTTTTCTGAACTCAACAGGAGGATAATCTAATGAAAATAGTCCCAAAATTAGTTGAACCTTTGAATTTAAATTGGCTTCTGCAGGTCAATCGAAAGCTCCCGTGAGCCAGAGAAGTAAAAAATAAGTCATCTTTATATGGATATGTAAAACTTTTAAAAGGTAATGAATAGCCACATCACAGATCTGTAATTTTTTTTTTTTTTAAAAGCAGAAGTCGGTCATAATATGAAGCTCTTCCCAAGTATTAACCTTGTGGTTAGTTAATGTTAGTTCCACAAAACTAAACCACAACAACTACATTGAATTTCTCCACCTAGATAAGAGATTTTTATATATACACATATATACATATATACACACACATACACGGTCTTGCCAGTATCTGAACTCTTACTGTGCTGCAAAATAGTTTTCTAAAATTTTAAGGTTTGTAAAACATCATTTTAAAATGGAGCATGGTATAGCATTTCTTGTGGTACCCATTCAAACTGGGAAGTTTTGTTGGATTTCCTTATGGAAAAGTCCTACAGAATTTTATGTATTTATAGAATTTAGAAGTTATAGTCTTCCTATAGAAGGCTGCGGGCAAGTCACAAAAACCTACAGTAAAAAAAAACAAAAAAACCTTATTCTCTATTCAATTCTGTAGGTTTAGGGCAACCTTCTATAGAATCCTATTTGTTTAACAACTATTAAATTATTTTTCATTTTCTAGATGTCAGGCAATTTTCTCTTCTGCTTGTGGGGGGAAACAAAATGGTCTTTGCATTGTTTAATACAGTGCTGATATGCAGTTTGATACAGTGTCTTATTCAGCTAATACCCACTAGCTTATGTTTATGTAACAGGCATGTAGGAATAACAAGATACTGAAAACAAGTGCTGGACAAAGAGCCTAGTCTCCACTACCTATCTACTATGGCCCAGAAATGCATCTATACATTCAAAACTGAAATGTTTCTATTCTGAAGGATGCCAAGTGCTCACATCTCCTTTAAAATCAACAAAAAAGTGGCAGCTGCTGAAGCCCAAAGCAGCACTGCTGCATCTAGGCCACTTTTTGCAAGGTTCAGTTGTTAACATGCAAATATCCTGCCCTTAAATCAATGGAGTCTAAAAAGAGAAACCCCAAACATGTTGTGAGCTTATTCAGTAATACATTTATCACCATCTGGATCAAAGCAATAATGCAGTTAGGCACTCAGAGCTCTCTGCCATGTCAGTATCAAGTATTGATTTGGGGGGTTACAATTAGTGCTTTTAATTCAGATTATGCTGTATAAAAAGGAAGAATTCTTCTTAAGAGGTTTCAGAGACAGCAGCTAGTCTTCAGCCTTCTACACAGGTACATGAAGTGGGACTTTGCTGCGGTCACTCACCTTGTCACTTGGAGGTTTCTGCTGGTGCCTCTCAGGCAAACGGGTTCGTTCCCAGGATACCGGGCTGTTGCGTGGCACGGGGGTGTGATGCTGCCATGGCTCACTCTACCCTCGCTACCATCTTTAGACAGTGCTCTGTTCATATCAAGTACCTGGACCCAGACTCGAACTCTGGCTATGTGCTGACCCACAGCAAAGGCTTCCTTTGAAACTCAAAAGATCCTCACAGCATTGAACTCTGCTCACTCTTCAAATGCTCCTTTCCTAGGCTTTCATTTTATGGCAGTATCCAAATGGGGTGGAGCCTAGTGCAGACCAAGGTCCGTCTCTCTGCCTTTCAGCATAACCTGTAGCAACCCTCCTAGCATAATAAACAGCGAGCTCCAATTTCTGTAGGATCCTCCCTTCAAGGATTTCAGAGTACTTTACAGGCATCATGATCCCTAAATCCCCGAGGTATGGAGATGCGTTGCAGAATGGCCAAGTGCAACATCCTTACCTTACTGTGATTTCAGAGAAAGAGTCTGGCCCCAAGATGATGCAGTGGGGAAGTGTGTTTGGAGCAGAAACCAGAGATTTTCCAATTCCCTGTCCTGTCATCTAGCCACTAGATTATGCTTTGTCAAATTCCCAGCAAGAAGCTATTGGGTTTTTGGGCTCTCCACATAGGAATGCAAGGCCTTTTCTTCCAACAAGAAAGTCTGTGCCATATTACAAGCTCATTTGAAAAAATACTTTTGGAACCTAAATTGCTCCTGTTGTTAGCGCCAGAGAACCTTGGCACACACGGTCTGTCAATGAAATTGTGCTCGTTCTTCTTGAGGCACACAGTCAGCAAACTTGAGATAAGGCAACAGGAGGACAACGAGAGCAAAAGCTCCAGCTCAAGAGCAAAGTCTAAACACAGATTAATAGTCCAAACCCTGAAAATCAAGGAAAAGGTGTAGAAAGTGTAGACTGTAAGAGCCCATGGTGAATCCTTATCAAGGTAGTTGCCATTCTAATATGGCATTATGCTCGAAGGGCTCAGGACTGTAGCCTTCCTTTTCTGTGGTTTGCCATACCGTGGTGTAGAGGGAAATTCATCTAGAAACACCTGCAGCCAACCATAGCTGTAGACTCTCCAGTCTTTACATCCATGCACAACAAGAGCATAACCATAACCATGGTTTCAGAGCAACAATGAATGCCGAGATTTACCACTGTCCAACTACACAGCTCCAAAGTTAGTCAGGGGGAGGGAAGGAAGAAAGAAAGAAAAAAAAAAAAAAAAAAGACTGAAATACCTGGCATATGGGCTAAAAATGAAGCTGGATTATCTGCTTGGCCTGTGATGGGGCAGTTGGGGGGGGCAGGAATATAGAAAGGGCAAAGCAAATGAATACTTTTTGTGAAGAGTGGGGAAAAATATGGGGGTTAATTGAAGAGATTTACAAAGTGATCTGGGATATGCAGGAATAGTAGTCTTATTCACACCCGCACTGAGGGTAGGCAGCACAAAAACAATTCTGAATGGTAAATATTGCTCACTACACGTCTACTGCAAGGAGACCACAAACTAAGCCTGCCTAGGCAGCAAAGCTGGAGGATGAAGAACTGGTTTGATCTGAATCTCGGCAAAAGGGAACAGCTGAATGATGGCTGCACAAATCCCAACCTTGCCTTTGGTTAGAACGAAGGATGTCCTCAACCAAATTAAAAGAGGACCCTCTAGTGTGTGCACATTTACATGAGAAGGTTTATGAATGGTATCTTTATACTCGTAAGCTTCATTGAGATGGATTTGTTTAAAAAGCTAAACAAAACATTAAAACAGAACAAAAATAAACCAAAAAAATCCCATTAATGAAGGAGGAAACGCCCCCCTACAGACTCTTCCCATTTCTATACAATGCCTACTACCCTTTCAATCATATTGAAATGAATAAGACAGATGAATGTTCCTCCCTTGGCCATATGAGCATAGCTGAAGTCTTTGCCAAGAAGAATTGGAAGGGGGGAACCCCCCCCCCCACCAAAAAAAACCACCCCAAAAACCTGGAAAGCTTTGTGGGGAAAACCTGCCTCTTGCAGATGAGGCACTAGATCTGTGCCAGTGGTTCTGAAATTCAGAAGCTGGGAAAATTAACCTGCAACCATCCCAAAAGCTGCCCCTGTCCAGCTGCCCCTTCCTGCAGTGCAAGTGATTTGCATCGTGAATTTCCTGGTCTCTAGGGTTTACAATTCCTCTTCAGTAGCTCCTCTGCTTTTTATGGTTTTGCCCCTGTACGGCAGTATTTATTTTAAGGTCAGAGAATTAAATAAGAAATCTCTAAATCAGCTCTTTTAAGCTAATGCTAGTGCTGCTCAATCATTGAGAAGGCTTTATGCTAAGTGTAGGAAATTGTACTGCATTAGATCTCTAAAAAAAAATGTCGAACACAGCTATTCCTCCAGTTGTTTGCCTAGAGAGAGGCAGCTTTAGATACTAAGGCTGAACTTGGAAAGCTGCATATTTGGAAAGTCAACATGTTTAATGAGTTTTCTGCTATTTGTGTTAACATTGGAAGAACGAGATACAGCGAACTAAACATCATTGCAACGGGAGTAAAAGGGAGGTCAATGCCATTTTGTTGAAGATGGGGGATGATTTTTTAAGAAATAATATTTCCCAGCCTGATTTGGGAATCAATTATAGTTTTATATAAAAAGCTTCTGCTTTAAGAGGTAAACAAATCATTTTCTCCCTGAACGCACCTCACAAGGAATTTCCAAGAAAGGACTGCAGCTTTCAGAAATGGTCCTTTTTATTTTGCAATACCAACACAGAGTCCCTTCTATCAACAGAACACAGCAGCCTGTGCAAAATGGCACATTTATCAATGAGACATCCACAGTAGGGTTCCAGTAACAGAGAACAGCCAATCCTCCCTCTATCATTCATTTTTATATGGAGAAGGGGAAGCTAGTCATCAAGATCATTGCAATTCAGTGCACAAATTGCAGCTTTATTGTTTGACTCCATATCAGGGTGGGGGGGGGAGGGCTTAACATTGAACATGTACAGCTTCAAATCATGGGAGACGAATGGAGACTGTGAGCTGATTTTTAGCATACTGTAGCCTCAGTCTGCTTTGGAATAAGGGCAGTACAAGAAGTTCTAAAGAATGAAAAATGGATATTCCCTACTCTGGGTAATTCATGAGTGTTTTCCTTCCATCTTCCTTAAAAGAAAAAAAGAAGAAAAAAAGCAGTTTGGCCATATAATATATTTAAATTAAGAAATCAGACCCTTTTGGAGGGGGATTATATTGCAGAACAGGCAGCCAATGCAATAAATTATTTCTGAACACTTGAGGAGAAAGAAAGAACGAAGCCCTTTCTCCGGTGATTAATGCTCATTCCTGTTTGCACTGCCATTTCCAAGGTCTGCATTTCCAATCCTGCTCTCTGCTTAGACTTCTGTGCAGAGGTCCCTTTCTGGTTTTTCCATGTCCTCTCTGATAACGAATTTTCAGAACATGTAGTCTCATCTTTCTCCTATGATGCTAGAACTGGTACCATGGAAGAAAAAAATCTGAGCTTCTCCCTGCTACGCAGTTGGTGAAGGGCACCCAAGACGCAATACTGCTCCATCCATGTAACATGCATTATATCTGTCTATCAGTACATGATTCTACACACAAGGCTTTATTAATGATCCACAGTTTGAAATCACAGCCCCATCCAAGAAAAACTGAAGCAACACAACCCCACAGCAGCACAGGGGATGGCGTAGGGGGGCAGAACAGAGCAGAAATGGAGCGAAAAGTAAAGGAAAATGGAATTGCAGGACAGTTGCATGAAATAAAATGCTAAGGAGCAAAGGTCATGCAGCAAAGATCCGACGCTCCCGGGACTCAGCTCTGAAGTGTCCTATTATGGGGACAGCTCCGGATCCACTTAACATTAACAAGAGGGAGAGAGGGCTTGGTGGGGAGAAGAAATACATAAGAGCTGTCCTCAGACGCCAAAGACGAAGTATGTGCTGCTCTTAATGGTAAAGCTGGGGGAGCCTGAATTTATCTCCTTTTGGTGTAGGAAGCATGGGGGCGGGGAGGGACAGAGAAAATGACTCCGCACCCACAGCACCCATCCATTTCTACCACAGCCCCCCAAACCCTGGCGTGACAAAAACCGCTTGCCCTGCACAGGCACCAAAGACAGCTGGGGAGCAGGGACAGGAGTTCAGCCGAGACCAGCAGCAACACCAATGCAAATCCTGCAGGAACCAGGACCTTTCTTGCTCTTTCCCCGAATGCAAATCCCGCTTTAGGTAATGAAAGGCCACACAGATACATAGGTAGATCCCAGATACAAACATGCGTGTGGGCAGACACACACACACATGTACGTGGACAGAACTGCACACGCAGGCTTCAGAGAGCCAACACACGCACACACGACGCCCTTCCAGCACTATTGAACAGAAACATACGTATACGCACACACACATAGATATAGATTATCTATATCCAGATAGACATACAGATTTTATAGATAGAGACAGAAAGATCTATATAGATAGATAGATATAGATCTCACTCCACGTATATATATAAAATCTGTCTATCTATACACACACACACAAACACACACAGATGTGTGTGTATATTTAGATATACGTGTGTGTGTGTGTATATAGCTATATCTATATAAATAAAATGTGCACACATACATGTGTGCGTGTATACGTGCGTTTCTGCTCACTAGTGCCGAGGCGGGGCCGTGCCGGGGCAGCAGGGACCCCGCACTCCCCCGGGCAGGACTCAGTCCCCGCAGGTCTCCGCGGCCCCCGCCCGCCGCGCTCCACACTTACTCGCAGGAATTGAGCCGAGACCATGTCTCACCGGGCGACTAAATCCCACCTCGGCGCGAGACTCGAGGGCGGGCAGGCAGGAGCCGAGCGCTGCGCTGCGCTGCGCTGTCAGCCGCGGCCGCTACCCCCTCCCGCCCGCCTCGCTTCGCTGTTGCAGCCGCCGCTGCCTGGGAAAATGGCTATTTTATGAATGGGAGGGTAGGGACCCCCCTCTACGCATGCGCGGCCGCCCGACTCTATGAATGGGTGGGCTCCGCGACCGCAAGGCGCATGCTCCGCTCGCTTTTTATGAATGGGGGGCCGGAAAGGAGCGCGTCGCGGGCTGTGAAGCTTGGAGCCGGCTGCGGCTTTTTATGAATGGAGGCAGGCGGCAGCTGCGCGCGCACCGTCCCCAGCCGGGCCCGAGGTAACGCGCCGTGCTGCAGCGTGTGCCCGCGGGGGCGCCACTCACTTGTGCTCTGGGCGGGGGAGGGTGGTGCCAG